AATATAAATTTATGATAAAAATATATATTTAATATCTTTTTAATATGTATTATAAAGATATAAATTAAATAAATTCATTAAAAATTTTAATTTTAAATTTTGAATTAGATAAAAAAAATTTTAAAAAAAGAGCGAAATCCCCCTCTTTATATACCCATCATTATTTAATGTGCTAAAAAAAAATCCTAAATCTAAAACCATAATAATTTTTTTTTAAAAAAGGGCAAAAAAAAAAAAAAAAAAACCATCTAATTTCCAAAAGTAAATGCAACTATGCAAGTTGTCTAATTTGTGGCGCCAAATAATCCAAGACTTAACGGTTTTCAATGAAAACCACAGAACCCAATAAAAAAGGCCCAAACGTAAAAAGCCCCACTCAATCTGTAACCAAAATGGCTCTCTCCACCACAGTCCCTTCTTCTTTCCCCTCCTCACTCCCCAAAACCTTCACTTCCCCATCTCCCAAGAAGCTTCACATCTCTTCCTTTCCCCTTTCTAATTCATCCAAATCTCCTTCGAATCACCTAGATAATGACGATTCCAAGAGATCCAGGAAGTTATCGGAGCAGTCGTCGTGGGAGGCGAAGGATGCAGAAGGGAGAGACTATCTCTATCGGCTCGGCAAAGAGGCCGACAACATGAACATCGCAGTCGGAGCTAGGGCTGGTGTTATCGACGACCTTTTCACCGGGAGTTTTCTCGGAAAAGATTGTAATTTTCTTTCCTTTTTTTTGGATCTCCTGTTTCGGTTCTTAGAAAGTGTGAGAAAATATCTGATTTTTTTTGTCTATGTATTTGTAGCCGACATTGTGTTTGATTACCGGCAGAAGGTGACGAGGTCGTTCGAGTATCTACAAGGGGATTACTACATTGCTCCACTGTTTATGGTAAAATACTCCTCTTCATTAATAAATTTTAGTTAATGATCTATTTTCTTAAGTTGACAAATTTTGAGATTGCCATGAGGCTGTTTGCGTAATTCAAAATAATTAGATGAATTGGTAATTATGTGTTGCAATTAGCTTAATGAAGTCCTGTTTCATCTGAAAAGTTCGCTTTGGCATGTTCTTGGTAGAGTAAAATAAGGTGGTTTTCAAGGGTTGAGAGTGGATTTTGCAAAATTTCTTTCAATTTTATTGGTGAATTGATGTGCAGCGATTACAAGTTGTTTTTGCATTTTTCTCGTTTTGGCCTTTCTATTATGAATCTTGGCTTATTCTAACATGATCATTCTTTTTGGCTTTCTTATTGGCAGGATAAAGTTGGTAAGTTCCATTCGACTGCAGAAAAGATGAGAAAATTGGAATGCATAATATTGAACAGCTAATTTTAGGATGAATGATATTATTCTTTTGCTCTCTTGAGGACTTACTTCCATATTTTCTGTGTTGCAGTATGCCACATCGTAAAGAACTACCTAGCTCATCTTCTCAATGTAAAAGTTCCTTTGATCCTAGGTGTATACTCAAATCATGTTTCTGTTGATTATTTAAAAATTTATGTGATAAAAAGTGAACTTGATAATGATTTGATCTTGCTCATGTTAGTCGTTTATTCATTTGCTCCACCAATTCCATCCTTTTCTTAGACTGTGATTATCCTGAATGTTTGCTGCTAATTTAATAAATTCCAGATCTCTTTTTGGGTTAAGAAAAAAAAAATCTAGAATGATTATGCATTTTCACTGATATTTTCTTAAAAATTATGTTTTATGGATAATAAATTTGTATCTGTTCACAAGCTGAGGTATATTTCTTAAAAAGTAGGTTTTCTCTACACTCAAATGATGTTTCTGAAATATTGTCCTATACAGGTATTTGGGGAGGAAAAGGTCAAGGAAAATCATTCCAAACTGAACTCATTTTCCAGGCTATGGGAATTGAACCAGTAATTATGTCTGCGGGTGAACTAGAATCCGAAAGGGCTGGTATGGGATTCTTTTAGTGCCTTTTCCTTTATTTATTCCTTTTTCTAAAGTCAAGAATGCCTTTTGTAATAATCCTTTTTCTAAAGTTTCAAAGAATATCAATTTTGTTTGATAACAATCATATTTTCTTTTCTAAAAGAAACATTTATACTAAATATGTCATGTTTGTACTTCTTACACACAATTGGTGCCTTGCTAAGAAAGAGATGTATCAAGCTGTCCTTTTCTACAAGAGCAACAGGATATTTCGTTTTTTTGGTTACTTGGATGTCATCCCAAAAAATCTTATTGCATTTAAATCCTGTTTTATTTAACAGGAGAACCAGGAAAATTGATTCGTGAACGCTATAGAACAGCTTCTCAAGTGGTCCAGAATCAAGTTAGAAGCTTTACCACTCTCATTGTTGGTTATATGTATGTCTGGGGTTATGATGCTTAATAGTGTCATCAATTAATTTGTTTAAGGAGTACAAGGAGTACTCCAACCCTTACAAAACCAAAAATCCACTCTAATACAAAAGGCATGATACAAAGATTCATCATTTAATAACTTATGGTACAGAGTGGTCATGTTTAATGCAGCAGACAACATATTAAATCCCCTAATTTTTGTTTGAAATGTAATATTATCCCTCTTAATACTCTTTGATAACATACCCTTTTTGAAGTTATGCAAGTCTGAATTTTTTTTTTTTTTATTTGTTCTAATGCAGGGCAAAATGAGTTGTTTGATGGTCAATGACATTGATGCTGGGCTTGGTAGATTTGGTAAGTTATTGTTTGCTTTCACAGAACAAAAAAGATATAGAAAAAGATTTGAACAGGATTAGATGCCTGATGCTTTCTATTTTTTTTGTCATTTTATGTAGGGAATACTCAAATGACAGTCAACAACCAAATTGTTGTTGGGACTCTGATGAATTTATCAGACAATCCAACCAGAGTTAGTGTCGGACAAGATTGGAGGGAATCAGATATTACAAACAGGATACCCATCATTGTCACAGGAAATGATTTTTCAACAATTTATGCTCCCTTGATTCGTGATGGAAGGATGGAAAAGTTTTACTGGTATAATGAGCTGGAATAGGTCTTGATTTCATTTTTTGCAGGTTTGCTTTAAAGTAAACTGCTTTAACTTGGTGACTATGGGTATGCTCATGAGATGGTTTGCAGCATTGCATAATTTGTTTTTATTGCCGACCATGAATTTGTTGCATATGATCTATAATTGCATAAAACTTTATGCATAAAACAATTTACTGCTTATTCTTCTCGATCCCTTTTGATATTTTCTTTTACTATTTCTTTTTGTAAATCACCTTGTGTATAAATTTTCCTTTGAATTCCACTGGATACCACAATGGTCTTCATGTATTTAATTGAATCATTAGTTCATTACATAGTTATGATATCCTAACTGCTTGAGCATTATACATGCATTTTATGATCCGTGCATGAAAAGAAATTATGAAACAAAACCTGAAATGAAATGTATTAGAAGCTTGTGTAAAATTGTTTGCTGAAATAAACGGAATATTTTTCTTCTAAGTTCTTTGTTATTTAGAAGTTTTCTGTTTTTAGTTGATTTAGGAACAGAAACTATTAAGTCGATCCAAGCTTTTCTTTGATACGGGCTTGTGATGTTTTATGTTGATCTAAGAAGAGCAATAAAACTACAAAATTATTCTCTGACATTCTCTGTCTGCATCACAGGCAGCCTACCCATGAAGATATTGTGAACATTGTTCGTAGAATGTATGAGAAGGATGGCATATCTTGGGATGAGGTTGTACATGTTGTGGGTACATTTCCTAATCAAGGTAACTTCATTTGCATTCTCTCTCTGACTAACCTTCTCACATGACATGTATTAGAGTAGTATGGGTGCCATTGGAATTTTTTTTTTTTTTTTTTTGTTTGTTTTTATGGTATCTACCTGCTGAGAAGTATGCTAGAGTGCAATTCTGATTTTATTTTCATTTGTGTTGGACAGCCTTGGACTTTTATGGTGCTCTCAGGTCTCGAACATATGACAGGTCTATTTCTAAGGTATGTTTACTCTTCATTTGAAACATTGATTATTGGGTTGACACACCAGCTTCCTCATGTACCAGGAAGAAAAACTCCCTATTTGAAGAAGTACAGAAGACAATGGACATAGTTCTCATGGAGTTTTTAAATAACCTTTGCATGTTTATTGTCTTCTACTTTTCAATACAGTGGGTCGAAGATATTGGAGGAGTTGAGAGCCTTGGAAACAAGCTTCTCAAACGTGGGAAGAATGAAAAGCTCCCCGTATTTACTCCTCCAAAGGTATTACTCAACCTTTTTCCGTATTGAAGTTTTCTGCTATCCATGAATTATCTATAATGGTTCTTCATCCTGCGTTCTATTTGAATTACCAGCAAACAGTGGAGGCTTTACTTGAATCGGGCTATTCTCTCCTCAGAGAACAACAGCTAATTATGGAGACTAAACTCTCAAAGGAATACATGAAAAACATTGATGACTGAAAATTACAACGTTATATATCATACATTGATAAATCATTAGTTGGTAAGTTTTATTTTTCCTTTTTTGAATTTTCTTTCTAATATCCACATGAAGGGAATTATGTCGATTTTTTCCCATTAGAACTAAAAAAGAAGGAAAAAAAAGAAGAGAGAGAGAGAGAGAGAGAGAATTATATAATATGAAAGAGTAATGACAAAATGGACAAATTTTATGCATTCAATAACATGGTATGGGTTATATTATTTAAAATATTAAAAAATAAATTTTATATTATTTAATGATTATTTTTTTATTTTATTAAAATTTATAATATTATATATATAAATTTATTTAATGACATAATTTTTATTATATTATTAGTTCCAAATTTTTATCTTTTATATTATTACAC